ACGCTGTCAGTGAATTAACGAGCGGTGATCTACCTTTCAGACTACGACGGGACAGAAAGTATCTAGGAATATATCAAGGAAGATTCCAGGAAGGAGATCGCTCTGGATATATTGTGGTGATAATAACTAACTGTACCAACGAACTGTGAGTTGTATCATCTCGTCTATTTTTTCTCACTTGATTTCACTACTTCGAACTGGTATTTGCTCACGTTATCCACTACAAAGCAGTTGCGGGTGTGCTATCAAACTGGATATGACAGTGCCGTGGCATCTTTGGCCTGACATGCTTCAGTTTTTGGACATCCCCGTAACGGACGTCGCATTTAAGATTATTGCGCTCGGGTGTGCAGTTCTTTGGGTAGCGGGATTCATTTCAGACTGGCCGAGGGAACGGAAGGCGACGAAGCCGGAATGGGATCGCAGGGTTTTTTTGGTCGGTTTGGGGATCCTGTGGTTGTAGATCATAGGCCAAAATGATGTACAACCTTGCTTACTCTACTTTGGCTCACGAGCTTTATTTCTGTTTTCCATCCACAGAAATTGTCGTGAACACCTGCCTTCGGAGCATCACTGTCCCCTGGTGCTTCCGTAGCGTGCATATTACACGTCCACACTGGGCATTGTCGAAGTTCAAAGCTTGAGAAGCTGACAGAGTGGGATGACATGTGTAAAACATGGTGAGTTTAAGGAGACATTAAATGGGATAATATGCGTCAAAATATATAGAAATAAAAAACTTGACGTCTACCGCGATTAGGGTGACAAGTGATTACAGGGAATGAGGTATAGATGGATTTGTATTTAATAGACTAACGACCAGGGGTTGGGTTTGCTAACAAACGATCTAGTGGAAGCCGATATAAGCGCTCAGATTGATGGTGTGGAAATCAGATGTATAAGGGCTGACGGAAGTGAACTTCCAAGATAGCTGGTTAATCTGGTATTTATTACTTGAGTTAGGCAGTACCATAAGAAAGAGTATGTGCAAGAGAAATGGTCACCGGTACCAGAAGCACTGCTATCAGCTTTAAACTGCAAGTGGTGTGTGTCCACCACTGGGAGCTGCAGGATGAAAAGGAATTTGGTCCAGTGTAGCTAGATACAGTTGGTAGATACATGACTCAACCAAAGTGACCCCATTACCAGCAACACCAAACAGAAGTCGACAGTACTTTTTAGATTTCCTAATTTAACGGCTCGCCTCAGGATCACCGGCGATGGGCGATGCACCTGTGCTATTGGAGGGGTGGCGGATACACAAACGAAACATGCTGCAACATGACAGGGCGACCCTCCCTACAGGGTGTACCTGTCCACCACACAAGCTACTCATCCCTCGTGCATGCTACGAGATCTGAGGGTCACAAGCCACCAAGCAGTTATAATTGCGGCTTGTGCATTAACAAATAACTCCAGCTACCTGATATTTTATCCGGCCAGGGGGAAACCCACGCTAATCAAAGTGCTCAGTCATTTCAAACAAGCAAACAGCCACTGGATGAGACAAGTCGCGGAGGAGATATACTGCGATATCTGGAATATCGTGCCAGCTGAATCATGAGGCGGCCTGTGTGTGTGCNAACCCCATCAAGTAATCAATTAACTAAGTATATTTTAAAGACACACTCACTTGCAAATCAATTTGGTTTTCACGAGAGACTCAACTGAATCTCAGCTGAATGTGCTGCACACAGGCCGCCTCATGTTTCAGTTGGCACGATATTCGAGCTATCGTATTATATTTCCATAAAGGAAACTACTCACAAGGTTGCTGCCGAAGAGTTTTCAGCAACCTTGTGAGTAGTTTCCTTTATGTAAATACACTGCGATATCTGGAATATCGTGCGAACTGAATCATGAGGCGGGCTGTATGCAACACATTTAGCTTTTACTTTTTATATCGGTGAATCCAGAATGCTGGCGCGCTGGATTTATTTATTGGGTATCATCAACCGATATATCACTGTCTATTGAACACGAGAGCAAAACTCGCATATGCCTCTTGTTTATAAAACAAACTGTTTAGTTGTGTTCCCGTCAAGCGGATATTTTTGAAACTCACAGGATATTCACTATCTCTTAGGGTTCAATATGTACTACGAAGTCTTTCCCAAACTGCGTAATAAATCTCAATTTTCAATAGATGCGGAGCGGATTGTTGATAAATCATATATTACTCGCACGCTTCATAAGTAGTCTCGCCTTTTACACAATTTCCAACCTCAAAGATCGCATGCCACCGATTTTCAATTACATCCAGAAAATGCTGCGTTGGCCGCTTCTTGGATGCATCATGCCATTTAAGAAGCTGGTTCCTTTTTGCTGTTTTAACTCACCGACTGTCTTGAAGTGTATTAGACGTCCCCTCAGCGGTTGTTAATGACAAACGCAACTTATCGACTTCGTAGATTCCGGGATCCCAGTTCACTTCATTCAGGAAAGCGATGATCTCCCCAATCGACCCTCGCGCCCATGTTGAATGGTTGGGCCTCTATAGTCGTCGCTTCCTGTCCAGACCTTTCCATAACGGCGGTCAAGTTTAGTTGATCTTACCTCCTCTCTCCACCTACCCCCGTTTGAACCAAACGCCTATGGAAACAGGCTCTTGACGTCAACGAATTATAGCCCACCAATTTCTAAGCAACAGATGGGTTTCATGGGATAGCTTGCCCCTGCCCTGTCCGCTTCCTTGCTACGAGCCGCTTACTGGACACCACATAATCCATCATTTGACTTCACATCCCGAATAAATAGACCGTCCGCCGAAGTAAACCGTACTTCTTCGTGATTCCTGTGTGTGCCATCTCGTAACATTTAAAGGTAAAATTCCTTCCCAGGAAGCAATGTATCACGGGCAGCACAACGTCTAATTCGGTAGCCTTTCAGGAAATTATATCAGCTTGTTTCAGACTCAGCCGAGCAAAATGACTCTTGAACGCTTCCGACTCATTGTCTCCATTCCTGAGGCCCATGCTGCTTCTATCAAACAAGGCGGCTGCAACCTTCAAAGGCCCAGAATCCTGCAGATGGAGTTGCGGTAACATTCCGGGATCCAGTTCGACGACAAGGCCATCGGCTCCAATAATGATCGCGGGGCCCTCAAATTCGTGGCACGTGCTGAATAGTGGAGTCGCATTATTGCAACCAGAGTACCCACCATGCGAGCTTTTCGCGAGAATCCCTGTGGTCGTGATTCACTGCAGGGATACGTGATTGGCTTCGGCATGAAAAGTTTGTCAAATATCTATGACCTCCGCTGTTCGACTACGTTTTCAGTGGTGCCTTGGCATATTCCCGTTTCAGATGAAAGAGCTCCTCCACACGCAACAGGCTAGCTGCTCTCGCAAACCGCAACTGGGCACCAAGTGCCGGTTGCACTCCATCAATGAACTGGTCAGACAGCAAGTGACGGCGTGACTGGCTGTCCAGTTCAGACAAATCCGGTCCAACGACTACTACAGACTTGCGAAGAATATAGTCGCACCGCATCCGGGTACCATCCCGTTCGTCGTAATCCGCCCAATAGCCCCCGGTCGGTCGGCTGGCATATCGATCCCCGCTGCAGGGGCTTCTTTCGCAGTAGCCCAGTTCAACTTCCGGGGCTGCCTTCTGGCCGCGTCCAGGGCCGTCCCCGGCGGCCTCTGAGAAGGATCTCCAGCGCCGCCGAATCACCCCTTGTCGGTATCCAGAACCTCAGCCCCCGCAACCTCCTCGATGTCCTCTAGATAGGTCCGAACATCCCACCCTCAAAGGGCAGTGGCCACGGCATATTCATCCTTGCCCTGGTCATGGCGCCAATTGAGAGAAAGTGGGCCTTCGCTGCCGAGTTATTTACTAGAAAGCACCAACTGACTAGTTAACGACTATGTAACAGGAAAGCAGTACTCTCATGTATATCTTGTTCCCAAAAGATGAGTATCCACCTGATTCTCGAAGGCGTCTTCCTGAATTATTCTGGATACGCACTGATTATCATACAAACGTGAACGAATGCAACGAAGCGATCCCGCGAACTCCATAATAAGTCCCAAATTTCAACAGACGTGGAGTGGATTTACTAAAACGTCACATACTACTCGCGTGTTTCATCAGTAGTGTACACCATTACATTAATACCACTGAATGCCTTTGGTGATTAGAAGCCGTCGTCCGAGGCTCACGTGACCAAGACCCTATAGCGAACAGGCTTCGAACGACGGGCCGTAGTGCGGGGCATCTATGATATGAAGGCGCATCAATAACGTCAACTTATACCACAGGGAAGACTGATTCTATTTTCGGGTAAATTTAAGCGTGCGAGTTGATGAAAAAGTTTCATATTGCACTATTGTGCAATGTCAGAATACATTAGCGATCTCACTACTTGGAGGAGCAGCTTAAATGGGTGTGTTTTGCACAGGGGAACGCTGAATAGAAAGGTTATTTGATCCCGTGAGTCTCTCTTGTCCCTTCAAAATCTGTAAGCTGAGCACACGAAAGACGCGACTGAGAAATTTGAAGACAAACACAACAGATATAACACGAACACCAGTGGAGCAGAACTGCATTAACCGGTGTCTTTCTTCGTTCAGTGAGCGCAATTTGAATTTCGAATGGGGCTGGGAAATCCATCTAGGAATCAAAAACATTCGGTCACAGGGATTATCGCGATGTTTCTTCTGGGTGAAGTGATTCAGTGCGCTAGGTACAGCAAGTTTCCACAAGCTATTCAATAATCTCATTTATGGGCGTAGCTGAATAACCCATGCAAATTTGCTGACGAATTTCTGGGCATATGAGGGGTGAGATGGCCCAAGTGGTTAGAGCGCAAATTACTGACTAAAAGCTTTGTGGTTCGGACCTGACTACTGCCTTGGGCTACGCGGCAGTATCCCAGCCCTCGTGCAACCTTCGGGAGGCATGCCAGTTAGGCACCGAAAGGGTGCTGCAGATGAGCGATTTTTTAATAGACATAAATGCATAACTGTTATGTCTTGATGTACGGTAATGCAACTCTGTATCTGTCCCTTGGCTTCCTGCTCCGCCCACTGTGGAATAGAAAAAGGCACNTCCGTGAGGGGGCGAGAACCGTCGAGTCAAGGTGCTTGACTCGGATTGGCTGGCATTCTGACCAATCAGGGCATGCCCACATCTGGCCCGTGTCCTGCACGTGACACGCGTCCAAATGATGTGATGTTCGGTTATTAGGGACGGCTGGCCCCCGAACAATAACTCTCTTGTGTACGCACGTTAAATTTAGTGGCGATGTGTGAAAATTCACTTGTATTGTTTACCGAATATTTTGGAACATGTAAAGGGAGGTTGGTGCAACGAAACCTTCTGTAACTTTAAAATCACTGTATGGGAAATTTTCAAGCTTTTAATCAACAACTGGCAAGAAAGGCAGCCGGCTGAACAAACCCGAAATCTAAAAATGTGTCGGTTCGTTCAATGTTGCCTGGTAATTCCATCAGAGTGACTGAGTGCAAAGTGAACACATCTTCATTACGTGCTGAATTGCTGAGGTCGGCTATGCGACTTGGATTGGAACTTGATTGTTAAGAGGACACCTAAAACCAAGGCTGGTTTAGTTCGACGACTTTCGCTAGACATCACGTTGATCGCTTTTCATCAGGTGAAACGTGCAACGTCGATGTCTACATTTTAGTATGGCCTCATGTAGCGCACCTCGTGGGTGCAAATTTAATTTATGGGGTATTCGCTGTACCAACCCTCAGCCAATCGCAAACACCGGGAACTTGGTAAAGAAATTCGTTCTCTATGTTAGACGGTAGACTATTGAAAGTTCACTAACCTAATGTACAAGCATTATTATGGATGACATTTAAAATGGATATCTAGAGCTAAAGCTCAGTTAATTTAGATCGGAACCAAGTAGTAAACGTAGTATCTCATTCACGAATAGGACCGTCTGAAAATTCGTCAGTCTTGCGCGAGACATACTAGTGTGATCCTGCCGGGCTACGTGTTTTGTGCGTGTGTGCTTGACGCATGATATCGCCATATGTAGAGCAGCTTTTAAATGAAGACGCCCAAATCATCAGAAAGCAGGGACATAACCACGAAAATACCGACGCGATCGTAAATAGACTAGTCTAGAACAGCAGTGACATTGGGCCCATCCGATGGAGACTAGCTACGAGTTCCCCAGCGAAATACTCAGCTTCACCATCTCAGTAGGACACCTAAATCAGCTAAATTTTCTTTCGAAGTGTCAGTGTCTTTGGACTTGCAGTACAAAAATGACAACGTCACGTAACGGATGAATTGGTTTAGGGAAGCTTAACATCAGATTTTATTGCAATAATCAAACCAGAGCGTTAGGTACTCCTTTGCTACTGTGTGAGCCCGGAGAGGCATCGCTCTCAATTACAACGTTGAAAATTCTAGTTCTACAGCTGACGAACTCAACAGGAACGCTCGAATTCAAAACGGATATGCGGTGACACTTGTAGCTCGGTGGACCCACTGAATCCACTGAGCTATCTCAGGGGATTACATTGGCACATTTGAACTCAACGGTCAAATTTACCGCATTATAATAAAAATAACTGGAACCATTCAGTTCTCAAATGGCTACGTCCAAAACTCACTTCATATTCGACATGATCTTATTCTAATGGACGTGTTACTTAGTCTCAAATCAGACAACCCTGCTTCTGTCTCTTTAGTGTGCAAAGTGACTAAACAAACACTTCTCGCATATAGCTCCAGTAATGTGACCGCATGTTTGCACTTAGGCTCTGGGGAAAATGCTCCGTGAATATAATTAAGGAACTTCTGCAACAAAATGGATAACCTGTGATTGCATACCTCAGCGGTACCTAAATAATAATACATTGGAGGTCCGACTGCGTTCAAGGCTAAGGTAAACATTCGTGAGCAATATTTTGATTGCTCTGATTTAAAAAGTGCCTACTGTCGGATGAAGGAGTAATAAGCAACAATAAGTGGTTTTCCCTTTCACCTGAGTTGACAAAAACCAGTGACCTCTGATTTTAAGTGTAAGAAGAAGGCCTTGCCCACTGAGGAATGCGGACGTACGTTATTTGCTGGACGCAATATTAACCGATCGAGACCAAAAATCAAATATGTGAACAGTGAAGTGTTGGATGAAAATAATAGGGAGACACTTGATAGTTTTGGGTTGGTTGTTAAATATTTTATGCTAATCATATTTTTTCAGGTAGCAGCAGGATGAATAAAATGAATACCCCGTTGTTGGCATTCACCGAAAGAACTGGAGTATGACGCAAAAAAGGGTACCCTGCGCACCAAATTGAACGAAGTTTCGTAAGCGTACTTCCCACCTCTCTGTCGATCAATTCATTATGTGGCGTTCACGCGAATACATTGTTGATCTGGAATTCCAGCTGGATTGGTCAACTTTCATGATTGTAATTTCGCACGTCCCACCGAATCGCACGACACTCTAGGTTTGCTGATGCTTAAAACTACCTAGGGTTATCTCTACGATCCGCCCTGAGTTGGTCAAAATATGGGGTGTAACATAATCGGAATTGAAAATTGAACACGATTCTCGTGTTTTTCAAAAATTGCATCGAACATTTAACCACCTGCCACATAATCACAGGGAACCAGGCATAATATCCTCAGACCTCAGGTTAAAGTGTTGACTCATGCCAACACCCCCGGTGCACCAAGTACCCCCGGTGCTACACCGTTGCGGGCGAGATTAATGTAAAACACCCAAATTTGAGAGTTAAACTCCCAAAATTATGCACAATTTGTGAATAAATAATCGAAATAGGGGAATATAAGGTTTTTGGTCTAAAAAATCCCTAACATTAACTTTTATATCTGAAAACAAAAACACTCGTAATTGACAGAGATAATCGCAATATGGTAGGATTCCATGATCATTTTTCAAAACTTACCCAAAAGTAAACAAGGTTAGCGCAAGCTCGCTTCTTCTAGGTATTCACTAGCGCTTGTTGATTACAAGGGAAAAAAGTAAGAAGCGTGATTAACTTCCAATGTGAAAAAAATTATGCCGTATACAAAGCTCACTATAAAACACAGTTTAACTTACTTAACGAACGATCACTGGACAAGGCATAATAAACATGATTGCTCCTGAAAACGTTTGACCCAAGACGGTTCGAAAAAAAACTAAGCATCAGGCCCACATCTGAGCAAAAGATGGGCCGCAAAAGTTACAAGGCGAAACGGGCTTCTGATTTGCGTCAGTTCAGTCAACCCCAAACGTTATGACAAACCACTTGTAGTCTTAGCTGCTGTGCTCCCGAAAGCATGTCGACGTACCCACCTTAGTCGCCGGACAGCAGTGTCCACTCAGTGTCCACCACAGACCGCTTGGCTGCCAAAGCCAAAAGTGCTCCGGAAAAGGCAAGCCAAACCTAGAACCATCCTAGGAAGTACGTGTAGCTTCTTACCGTAAGAGACGGCAAATTTGAAGCACGAAACTTCACACCCAAGTCACAAGCTCTAGGCTGAACTCACTCACATATGTGATAACAAGCGGCGGAGCTTACCAACGGATGAACCACATGCGTTGGTTCCAACAAAGAAGAATGCAGCGAGAACTGTGCAACAACTGATAGTGGGGAAAACGTAAACTACCAGCTCCATTCCATACACAGTGGTCTCTCCTATTGCG